GCCCATAGTATCCAGCAGACATTTCCATGAAGCAGGAAATTTCAAAGACAGTTCAGTCACTATCTGCTGTGTCCTGCAGAATGTCTCGCAGACTCTTTCATGAGTCATGAACCCCAAAAGACCGTCTCACCTTTAGGCAAGTTCAGCAGTCCTCTCTCTGTGGGTTCTCTGTGTCCATTTTATGCAACAGTCCAGGAAAGAGCAGTTTCTTGCCCAAATGGCTAACCAACTCCATAAGGATCCTCTTCGATGCCCATCTTCCTCTCGAAGTAGATTGGTGCCACCAGGAGCAGATATGTCTCATTGTCATGAAAAGTCCTAAGTTATTAAAACATTAAATGCCATATTCTGCAGTCTTTGAAAGATATGAAGAATGTCTATCTAATTGAAATGTATCTCTATATATCTAGAAAATCTAACTAACATGACTACAAGCTTGACTATTATTGGTGATTAACCATTAACCTATATTTCTTAATTATACATTACATTTTTAAATGAACTACACAATCACAATACCTTAATCAAGATCAGAAATACATATACATATAACAAAATTGACTGTAAAATCCACACCAATGCAAATTACTCATACCTATACCATTTCCCCCTTTAAATGTAAAAGAACATTTACAAACAATATTTTGGGAACATGGGCGCAGTTTTTTCTCTCCAAACTGCTTCCTGCTGAATGGGGGCGCTGTTAATCAGATCATTTAGGGTGTATCCTGTGTGCCAGGTTTATCTCAGTTGCCAGTTGAGTGAAGTAATTTTTTGAGGGTGTTCACAGGAACTTTTCGGGAGGTCATGGTCTATCATACCATATCGGGATAGATGCAATCCACAGGGTCTGGTACTCTGTGAAAACAAAAGAAGACCCTTTCCAAAGCATCATATCCTTAGACCCAAATTCTGAAGTCATACCCTCATGATATCCATTTTGGTTCCATTTGGCAGCCCATAGAATGAAATGTCTCTCTGTACTTAGCTCCTTCACAGTCAAGAATTTTAAAGAAAACACAATGTACATAATCCAGACTCTCTGTGAATTTTCCATTTTTACGTGGCTTATTTTTCTTTATTTATTTTAATCTCTTAACTATCTGTACTCTGTCTCTTTAAAGACTTTACCTTTTTTTTTAAACCATTAACTTTATTTTCTTTTCTTTTTTTTTTTTTAAAATATTTATTTATTATGTATACAATATTCTGTCTGTGTGTATCTCTGCAGGCCAGAAGAGGGCACCAGACCTCATTACAGATGGTTGTGAGCCACCATGTGGTTGCTGGGAATTGAACTCAGGACCTTTGGAAGAGCAGTCAGTGCTCTTAACCTCTGAGCCATCTCTCCAGCCCCCATTAACTTTATTTTCTATATTCTTTTTCTTCTCTCTCTCAAGTCTATGTGCATTCATCCAACAGTGTGGTCTTTTATGTCTGAATCTGTTTTATTGTGAATCTCTAACATTTTTTTACTATCCAGGAGCATTTTTTAAAATGTTAAGCAGTTCTTAAAAACTTAAGTTGCACCATGTACAAGTAATACAGTACCGCCTGTGTCCTGCCCAGTTGAAACCTTAAATGCGCTGTTTTTATGGTAATTACGGTAGTTCCTGCCTGAGACCAGCTCAGTTCAGCATGGCAGAGCTGAGCCAAGCCGCTCCTGCCTCAGAGCCATTTGGTGCCCCTGAGCCACACACAGTTCCAGGCACACAGTAAGTCCACATTGCCATCAAGCAAGCCGTAGAGCTTTACTCCAAATGCTCCATTCAAAAGCTCTGTCTCCCACAGGAGCCAGACAGAGATCGCAATGGCGGCACAGCCCAGAAAGCCGGCATTTTAAAACAGCCAGTTTTTTCCTGCTGCTGAGTCAGGACAATTTCTTTGCAGCACGCAACCCACAAACAGCAAAAAGCTGTCTTAAATTCTCTCTCTCTCCTTTTTAAGCCCTCTCAGGTTTTACGTGGAGTTCATTAGCACGTTGGGTGCCACTCTGTTGAAATACGGAGCGGCAGGCTGTGTCCCGCCACCCAGCTAGCTTTACCCGAAATAATTACATGGAAACTGTATTCTTTTAAACACTGCCTGACCCATTAGTTTCAGTTTCTTATTGGCTAGCTTTTACATATTGATCTAACCCATTTCTATTAATCTGTGTAGCCCACGAGCTGGCTTACCAGGAATGATCTTAACCTGCGTCTGTCTGGAGTGGGAGAATCATGGCGACTCCCTGACTCAGCTTCTTTCTCCCAGCATTCCATTCTGTTTACTCCGCCTACCTAAGGGTTGGCCTATCAAATGGGTCTAGGCAGTTTCTTTATTAATAAGAAATCACCCCCACATCAGCCCCTACTGGCTATAGCTCTGCATTGCAACCATTGGGTCATTATCTATTCAGCTTAGGCATTTGTGCTCCTTGCCTTTTCGTAGTTAAGTGCCGGTTTAAATACATTGTGAATTTAGGCTTTGGGTCTTCACTTCCTATTTCCCATACAACCTTCAAGCTATGCATGCGTAAAGTATCACCCAGCATGAAGGATGGCTTGCACTCTTTTTCAAAGTGTCTCAGAACTCATTTAACACCTTGACTTCTCCACACAAGGTCTTGACACATACTGAAATCCACATCAGAAAACAGTGATCTGTGCAACAACTAACTTTCAGATGGAAAAACCAAGTCCCAGAGGGCTATTAAGAAAATAGCTCATGTCTCCTGAAGTTAGGGACCACGCTAAAGGTCGTCATCAGAAGACTCCTCAAACTAACCCCATGTTGAGATGCCAGGGCCCCTCCTTTTCGGATGAGGAGACTGGAGATAAATGAGTTAGAAATCAACCCAGGGCCATGCAGTGAGTTGGAAGTGGAGCTGCAGCGATCCTTACCTTCCAGGCACTACCACTTCGCATTGGTACCCTCTGATCCCCTCTAGAAGAGCAACTCATTCTGCCCAGGTCACAAACCTTCCCTCCTGTGAATACCTACCTAAGTCTGAACTTAATGCTTCTTTGAGCCCAAAGTTGCCGCTACATCCTCCAGGGCCTTACCTACTCTTTTCTGATTTCTACCTTGCTGGTTAACACCTATGGCTGTCTTCTCATGCCCACAAGATCCCCAAAGACATCAAGAAAGAAGAGAAGGGACAAAGTTAGGAATAAAGTACAGAGTCAACAAAATGAAGTCTGAGTGAAGGCATTCCAAAGAAGAAGAAAAGGCAGCCTGGGTATGGCAGCAGGCAGGGACATCTTTGATTTTGGAAGGAGGATGAGAGGTACTGTATTAACACTAAGAAAATGCTATTGGCTGGATAGAAAGAGAAAGTATGAAAAGCATCTTTTTTGGGAGATGGTCCTGTCTAGACAGGCTTCTAGAAGTCACTGTGTGTATGCACTGGGTTCTGTCTTAGTTAGGGTTACTGTTGCTACAACAAAACACCATGACCAAAGCAACTTGGGCAGGAAAGAGTTTGTTGGCTTACACTTCCACAGTACTGTTCATCACTGAAGGAAGTTAGGATAGAAACTCAAACAAGACAGGAGCCTGGAGGGAGGAGCTGGTGCAGACAGAGGCCATGGAAGGTGCTGCTTACTGGTTTGTTTCACATGACTTGCTCAGCCTGCTTTGTTATAGAAACCAGGACCACCAGCCCAAGGATGGCCCCACCCTCAAGTGACTGAGTCCTCCCCTGTAATCACTATTAAGAAAATGTCCTACAGGCTTGAATACAGTCAGAGTTTATAAAGACCTTCTTAATTGAAGGTCTTTCCTCACAGATGACTTCAGCTTTTGCCAAGTTGACATTAAACTATCTAGCAAGTCCCCAGGTGTCTTCCTGGGTCCAACCTCACCAGCCTAGGTTTGACTAGGCCATTAAGCAAGCCAGACTTGGAATCTACCAGAAAAGCCAGAGGACCAAGTATTCTGAGACAGAAAGCAAAGCCAGTGAATGGGTGACTTTTCAGGAGATCTCAAATTCCCTTCTCCCTGGCATCTTGGGAAGGTTTTGTAGGATGGGCTTGGAGAAGAGAAAACAAATAAAAACCTCTGTGAGATCCAGCTCTAGGACCCTTCCTGGTAGGTGCCCTTGAGGAGGGCAGACCCCGTTCCCCTTGCAGTGACCCCCCCTTACTGTAAGCATGGGTGGAAATGCCTCAAAAGGTAGCCCACTGATGTCTGAGACTGAGCTCTATGGGATGCTCAGGAATGGCAGTGTTTACCCTCGTTCTTGAGCAAGGTAGACATCACTAATATCTTCCAGCAATACAGAGTCTTCCCAGCTTCTCAGTGAGCAAGTGCGTGTAAGTTCCGGAAATTTACAGTTTGTGGGAAGGCTCTGTCCCCCAGACAGTCACAGATGGGCAAGCCTGGGCTAATTTTCAGCAGCTCTCAGGTGGAAAAGCTTTACTTTCCTCTGTAACTGGTGATCTGAGATCTGAGTACAGTACAGAGGTTGTGCCCTGAAGCGTGGACTCTTACTAATGCTTGCATTCACTTCAGAAGGCCTTGCTTCCTGTCACTCCTACTTTTTTTCTAGAGACTGTCATAGGAGACAATTTTCAAAGAACTTTATTAGAGACCACAGTTCTGTTTGTTTGTTTTCCTTGAGCCTTGCACCCCAAGGAGACAGATCTGTTACTCATGGCCTGGTTGAAATGAAGTTCTTTGCAAACAGACAGCCCAATCCGCTAGTCAGCTAGTCACATGCTTCTGGGCAGCTGCCCATCTGCTTTATCTTGCTGTGCCCCAGCTTCTTCTGCCTGGGGCTGTGGCTCTAGAGGGATTCTCTCCCCTCCCCTCAAGACTGGGTGATTCAGAGAGCAATAAGCTGCTGAGTGCCAGGACTGGGGCTCCCTCCCTAATCCCCAGCCTGTGTTTATCCCATGGCCTTGGGTGGGGGTTGGAGAGGGATGAGCAAGTTGGTAGCTGCTGGACTTACTGGACAAGCAGGACGGAGCATTCCTGGGGACAGGTTCCCTGCCTGGGCCCAAGAGGAGCCAGAAGTCATGTGGGTGGCCCTGGGCATGGTCTGGCTCCTAGCACTTGGGGGACTTCACCAGGCCTGGAGCTTCTGTCCCTCTCAATGCAGCTGCAGCCTGCACATCTTGAGTGACGGCAGCAAGGCCAGGTAGGACACCTCCAGGTGTGGGATGGGCCATCAAGCCTTCACAGATCCACCGGCTAGGCAGAGTAGGGAGGGGCTGGATGTCCGGCAGCTGTCCACTTACTCACGAGTCACCTGCTCCCACCTGAGGCTATCTGATACACATCAACATGCTGGATCAGGGACCCTTGAGACCCAATGTCTTGGGAAAGCAGTGTGTGACAGTTCATATTCAGTACTCAGGGGGTTTACTCTGCCTACGAGGTGAGGGACATGCAGGGGCCAGGGTCTGGAAGTTTTTCCTGAGCCTTTCTTCGTGTTTTTGGTGGGGCAAAGCCCTCTTTTAGAAGTCTAGAGGTTTCTTCCTGCTCTCATTCTTTCTCTTCATCTGCTTCCTTCCTGTTTTCCTTCCTCTTTGTATCTCCCAGACTTCTTTCTAGGCATCTCCCATTCTCACGCATGACCTCCACAAGACACCCAATCACATTCAGGTGACTTTGCCTCCTACTGCATGGTGGGACACATGCCTCCCCATGTGTTTCCTCACACTTGATTATCTACAAGGCCAGATATGCCCCTTTCATAGCAGGAATCTCCCTCCTTCCTCAGCCCACTCCTTGATTTTTCCCTCGTGCTTTCTTCTCCTCTTCATGGGCCTTGAAAGGCAAAGCCACTGTGGTTGGTGGACTCTTGCCTTTCTCGTGGAGCTCATTTTCTTGCTGTCATCAGAGAACTTTAAGTGCTCTTTCCTCAATGTCCTTGGCTTATTCAGGAGGAAATTAGTTTCTAATGGGTTCAGGGACTTCAGTCCCTCACGCGGGGCTTTTCCTACCAACTTCTCAACCTTGTGGCGTTCATCATCCTGTCTTCTTTGCCTCACGTGAATACTGGAGAACCACTCATCATTTCTGAGCATGGAATTGATGTTGTTGGAACTACCCTCCTCTCGATGTTGGCTTGATTGGGGTTGATGGTGGCTGAGAGTGGAGGGAAACCTCCAGAAAAGAGAACTTGTCTGTTCCGGAGGAAAGAAAGCATTCTGTTTTTGATGTGTTTGATGACTTAATTCATATGGGAAGTAAATTTGCTTTTACTAAGTAAGACAGGCTGATCCGTAATGATGCTCAATCAGCCTTGAAAATGGCTGATGACTAAGGACAGTGTGGTGAGGGTGCTTTTGTCACCTGGTCACAAAAGTGACACCATCCACAGAGAGCAAATGCCTCAAAGTCACATACCATTGGTGATGGAGCCAGTACCAGAATCCATGGATCTATTTTTTTCGGTTGCTTTTCGTTTTTAGAGACAGGGTTTCTCTGTAGCTTTGGAGCCTGTATTGGAACTAGCTCTTGTAGACCAGGCTGGCCTCAAACTCACAAGATCCACGGATCTAATTTTTAGACTCTGGGAATTCTGCCATTCATGGACATTCAGCTATCTGCACATTGTCCTGAGAGGGCAGTGAGGCCATGGAAGGTTGCAGAGAAGCCCCAGTCTCTAGTGGTCACAGGAATGGATGGCACACTGAGATAAAGCCCCTTCTGTATGTCAGATGCCTTCCTCAGACCCAGTTCTAACCTTGTAGAGCAGCACCCTAGCTCCCTTCCTGCTTCACGCTGGGATCCTGAACACAGTACGTGAGCCTCTGGGAATTACAGTTGCAGCTATGTGTCCTGGGAGGTGGCTTGGTCGGGGTAACATAGGCAACTAAATAGATGTTTCTCTTTCTCTTAGTGCCCAGTTTTTTAGGGTGACTCATGTTAGGCTCTTTTGACCCTGTAAGCCCTCCCTTGACCATACCCCTCCCCGGAACCGCATTAAGGGACAATTTCTCTATGAAGTCCCTTCCTTTACGTGTATCGAAGCCATCTTCTTTGTTAACATCCTACCCATATAGATAGGCACTGCATGTCTATGTATTATGTATTAGGGTCTTTCTATGTATGCATCCAGATCTCTATTCTTTGGGTAGATTATCAACAGCAATGGGCAGGCACTGTGACTTTGATTCCATGATCTGGGGTGCTCTCTCCCGAGCATACTAGACACTGCGGTTGGTATCTTTGTTAACCAGCAGATCTGGGGCCTCATAAGTGAAGAATGCTTGTTCAACTCCCCCACCCCCATTTCTGTGACCAGGACAGTGGTGTGCAGCGACCCTGACTTGACCCTGCCCCCAGCTTCAATTCCTCCGGACACCTGCAGGCTGCGCCTGGAACGAACCTCCATCCACAGGGTGCCTGGAGAGGCCTTCAGGTCTCTCAGCCGCCTGGAGCAGCTATGGCTGCCTTACAACGCTCTCAGCGAGCTCAGCGCCTTCATGCTCAGGGGGCTGCACCGCCTAAGGGAGCTGCGTCTGCCTGGGAACCGCCTGGCTGCTTTTCCCTGGGCGGCGCTCAGGGATGCTCCACAACTGCAGCTGCTGGACCTGCAGGCCAATCGCCTGTTGACATTGCCACCTGAGGCTGCGCACTTCCTGGAGAACCTTACTTTCCTGGACCTCTCCAACAACCACCTGATGAGGCTTCCTCTGGAGCTGCTGGACACCTGGGCTCACCTGAAGACCGGACCCTTCCTTTCCGGCCACCGTGCCCGACTAGTCCTAGGTAATCAAGAAGGCAACCATCACCAAGAACCATCCCGGTGCATGTTGGGATTTTTAGGCAACTCCTCAAGCCTCTCTGAGTCTGATGATATCATGAATTTTAGCATGCTCATCGTCTATACTTGAGGGACGATGGAATGATGTCGACATTAATTTCAGGTTTAGTAGTTCCAGACAAACCGAGTCAGCTCAGATTCCAGAAATCAGAAAACTGAGAATTGGGAGGTTTCTAGTCACACAACCAGTGCGTGGCCCCGTTAAACTTAGTTTCCCAGCTCAGGATGGAACGAGCCGGTGCAATATGTCAGCTAGAGCCTCTGCCTCTTCTATCCTTCTTTGCTCCTGATAAACCAAAAGTTTACCAAGTAAATAAGCAAGCCTTTGCTGCCCAGGGCACCTGCCTGCTCCTGGGGCTGATGGGTAACTGGAAAAGCCGTGAAAAACAAAGCAAAGAGGCTAATGATCTCTTCATCCCTTTTCCTAAAGCCTCTCCCAAGGACAGCTGCCAATTATCATGTTTACTTACAAGATTCCTATCTTTTACACCATGTTTACATGTGCATACAAACATATATATACACACACACAAAGAAAAGCTGTGTATTTTTACAATTTTTGAAGTATTTGTGTATCACATGTGTGTCTGGTCCCCTCGTAAGCCAGAAGAGGGCATTGTATCTCCTGTATCTGGAGTTATAGATGGGTGTGAGCCTACATGTGGGTGCCAGATCCTCTTAACCACTGAGCCATCTCCAGCCCCTGCTGTCAATTTTTTTGAAAATCCTATTGTATGTATTAAGCAGCACCAATTTTCTCATCCAACAATATATCTCTGAGATCTTCCTAAACAACTGCAATGAGCAGGTTCATTTGCCGCGGTAAAGCAGCCATCCCCTCTTCAAAGGTCTTTACATTGTTTTCACCATCTCATCAACACCTTCGGTACTGGAGACTATTCTCAGCCATGCATTCTTAGGATGTGTGTGCAAATGCATCTGAAGGATGAATGGTGCGAAGTGAACTTGCGAGATAATCCAGTACACCTGTGAACATTTTTATAATCAATTTGATCGCTTCTAAGGCAGGCGGTACTATTTTCAGTCTTTGTCCCTAGTGTGTGAGACTATGATCCTTTTTGCATATTTATGTGCATGTAGCATGTGTGTGTGCATGCTTGCATGTGTAGGGGCATATGTGTGTGTAAGCAGGTGTCCACGTATATGAATGTGCAAACCTGAAATTGATGTCACTTGCCTTTCATGGTCAGTCTCCATTTTATTTATTGATGCAGGGTCTCCCACTAATGCCGAGCTCACTGGTTCAGATGGTTTAACTACAGCTTGCCCTGGGGATTCACTGCCTCTGCCTTCCTAGTGTGAAAACTGCAGGCTTCCACCATGCCTGCTTGGCTTTTATGTGTATTAGGAAATCCATACTGTTCCTCAGGCTCATCCAGCAAGGGCTGGATTATTATTTACCGAGCCATATCCTTAGACCCAGGGAGTATTTGTGAGTGTCCTCTAATTCTTGATACTGTAAACAGTTTATTTATAAAGAAAGAAACAGTCTCAGAAAATGGTGCTGTCACTGAACCAAGTCTCGAGTCACATATTAGCAAGGCAAGGAGCTGGGACTGGAGGTCAAGTTCTGCTCGTTTTCTCAGGGGAACATGCAGCTGGACCTGGAGATGTAGCATGAACCTCTTGCTCTCTCCCTTCTGCAGGGCTACAGGACAACCCCTGGGTATGTGACTGTCGACTCTATGGCCTAGTTCATCTGCTAGAAGGCTGGACTTTAAACTTGGTCTTCATCGAGCCTAGACTGAGGTGCGCCAGCCCACGCACCCTGGCTGGGGTGGCCTTCAGCCAGCTGGAGCTGAGAAAGTGTCAGAGCCCAGAGCTCCGTCCAGGAGTGACCAGCATCATGTCCCCCTTGGGTAGCACAGTATTGCTACGCTGTGGAGCAACGGGGATCCCAGGTCCTGAGATGAGCTGGAGGAGAGCCAATGGACGCCCACTCAATGGCACAGGTGTGTGAGCAACAAGGCCGTCTGTGTTGAGTGCTGGGTTCATACAGGTTGGTCAGCTTCCCAAATGGAGAGAGGACAAAATTAGCAGGGACTGGAGCAAGCCAGGTTGGACTCTGATTTGTCCGAATGAGGTTGGCTAGAATCTGCTCGCATGCTGGACATTGGTTGTGACAATGGCTCTCAACGCATCCTGTCACTTCTCCTTAGTAACTTAATTATCAGAAACTCAGGGCCCATGTTAGGAGCAATACAAAGTTAATTTGTTTTGTTTTGATTTGAGTCAGGGTTTCTCTGTGTAGCCCTGACTGTCCTTGTAGAACAGGCTGGCCTCTAACTCAAAGATCTGCCTGTCTCTGCCTTCCTAGTGCTGGGATTAAAGGTATGTGCTCACAGCCCAGCACAAAGTTAATTTCTTTTTTTTAGAAAGAAAATACTCTTCATGTATTTAACATTTTAGCAGGTTTTTCCTTTAAAATATTAACCCAGAAACATCGGGGTTAAATAATGATAGAATTGCCATCTGTTGAGATCTTATGGGTCTAACATTGTGTTAAGTAAATTATGTCCATAATGTCTTTGAACTTTAAAAAGTCAGTGTGGTTGGTGATCTGAGTCTATAGCCCTAGCATTTGGGAGGTGGGAAGATCAGAAGTTCAAGGTCAATCTTAGCTACACAGAGAGTTCCGGGTTAGTAAAATGGGCTACATGGGACCATCTGTCAGAATCAACCCCTCCCCCGAGCCAAACCAAACCAAAATTGTCAAAAGCAACCTGATTATCTTTTCTTTTTTCACACAAATAAATGGAAGCGCTGAGAGGCGAAAGCTCGCCCCATGTTTCACGGCTCATACATGAAGAAGCTGGGATTCCAGTCAGTCTAGCCCTGGCTGAGTGGTGTGCACAAATGTCTATTCTGGCTGAGTGGTGTGGGCAGAGATGGGTCATTTCTGTTATGACGACATCGGGGACCAGAGTCACAGCCAGACACAGGCAGAAAACAAGTCGAGCAGAAATCATTTCTTAGCACCTAGCCGGAAAATCTCACATCACCCCCAGCTTTCTTCCGGCTCCTCAACAAGGCTGACTGCTGTTGCTCTAGGGTAGGGATTTTAGGTCAGTTCGGTGCAGAAGGCTCCACTGTGTAACAACACAAAGGTGCGGATGGTAATTCGATGGGTCAGTTGGGGTGGGCAGAGGTGGTTATGGCGCTTCCGGATTGTCCTCTCTTCCTCATACTCGCCCCTGAACCTACCTACCCTCAAGGCACTTGCCTGCGCCCTGATGGGACCGCTTTGCCATGCTCTAGAACCTGAAGGGTAAACTCTGAGGAGATTTAACTTTGCAGGCAATTCGTCGCACTTAAGCAGTTTGTTCTTGAGTAACTTAGTAAAGTGAGCCGTGAGGGACTTGAGATTTTTTTTTCTTGGAATTCTATTTTCTTGGAATGAGTGGTTTTCACTATAGTGTGTGTAGACCAGGGACTGTGTGTGACATTGGCCTTAGAAGGGAGCCTGTGAAGATAATTCATTAATTCCTTCATTCCTGCCTCTTCCCTCTCTAGTGCACCAGGAAGTTTCCAGTGATGGCTCAAGCTGGACTTTGCTGGATCTGCCTGTTGTGTCTCTCTTCGACTCTGGAGACTACATCTGCCAGGCCAAGAACTTTCTAGGGGCTTCTGAAACTCTTATCTCCTTGATTGTCACTGAACCCCAGACTTCTACAGAATATAGTGGGGTTCCGGGGGCCCTGTGGCCAAGGACAGGAGAGGGGGCAGAAGCTGCTGCTTACAACAACAAGCTGGTGGCCAGGCATGTCCCCCATATTCCGGAACCCGTAGCTCTGGCTACCAAGCCCTCTGTGCCCAGCGTAAAGGAAGAGTTGGAGCTCCAGCACTTTCAGATGGATGTCCCAGGAGAGTTCTCCAGAGATCGAGCAGAACACCAGGGGGCCCAGATGGTCAGGTCTCTCAAGGTGGTGGGAGATACTTACCACAGTGTGTTGCTGGTGTGGAAGGCCCCTCAAGCTGGGAACACGACGGCCTTTAGTGTCCTTTATGCGGTCTTTGGGCAGCGTGACATGCGAAGGATGACTGTGGAGCCTGGGAAGACTAGTGTCACCATCGAGGGGCTTGCTCCAAAGACCAAGTATGTGGCATGTGTCTGTGTGCGGGGCCTGGTGCCTACAAAGGAGCAGTGTGTCATCTTCTCTACTGACGAGGTGGTAGATGCGGAGGGCACCCAGCGGCTCATCAACATGGTGGTGATCAGCGTGGCAGCCATCATCGCCCTGCCTCCCACCCTCCTGGTTTGCTGCGGGGCTCTCCGAAGACGCTGCCACAAGTGCCGCACTGGAGGCTCCGCGGAGGCATCAGGTGCCTATGTTAATTTGGAAAGACTGGGCCACAGCGAGGATGGCTCAGAGGAGTTGTCCCGGAGCAGCCTCAGTGAGGCGGACAGGCTTCTCTCAGCGCGCTCCAGCCTGGACTCGCAGCTCTTGGGAGTCAGGGGTGGCAGACGCATCAATGAGTACTTCTGCTGAGCCCGAGTCTCCATTGGCACCTGCCTGGTCACTCTCCCTCTTCAGTCTCACACATTTTCACACCCTGACTGTGTGCTCAGCCACCCTTATGGTTTGGGGAATTACATGTACATTTTCTTCAACGACAGCTAACACAGCTTATTAAGCCCTTACTATGGTCCAGCAGGTGTCCAAAGCACTTCATAGGTATTAACTTACTTGACTCTCATAACAGCCATTAGTATCTGCAGGCACCATTGTTCTCTCTAATTTCCTGGAGAAGAAGCAAGTGTCAAGTATTTTGCTTGTATCAGTCAGTTTCTGCTACATAACAAATAAAAGCAAAAACTCTGGTTTGCAGTGCTAAGATACTTACTTTTCCACTATGTGTCTGTAGGTTGGCATGATTCTGCTGTGTGTTCCATTGGGCTCCAAGGTGGAGAGTAACAGTGGCTACCTAGGGCAGACTTTTCTCGGATGACGTTAAGAGGAATGAGTTAAATCATGCAATGCCTCTTTGTGTGAGGTTGGTACCTTGCTGCTTGTGCTCATATTATATCTGCCAATGAGAGTCTCATGGCCAAATGCAACTTTAACCAGTCAAACGAAGTTACTAATCCTCTGAAAGTGACGATGGAAGACAGAACATCTGCAAAATGAATTTACTGCATGGTCCACTGTACCACTGCCACTGGGGAGTGGCAGCTCTAGCTTTGGACCGGGCAGTTAGACAGTTGGTTGCACAGGGAAGTCCTTACCACGTGCGCTCATCCATATTGCACTTCCTTCATTGAATTTGAATATTTAACCTTTGGGATGCTTGGGGATAAACATTTTATTGGCAATAAATTTTTGGGAATACTGCTCATTTGCTCTCAGCACGGTAGCCTGGAGAGAGCCAAGAATCATCTACAACAGAGGAACCTGTCATACGCATCCCATCTCACACCCAACCCATTCCCATGGAGCAGCCTTTACAATGTTCTCTGAACTGTTCTTGGTTTGGGAGAGGATCTAGGAGCTTTCCTGGTCACCCAGCAGGCTACTTCAGAGGAGAATCCCTGCTGAGTTCTGTCCAAGGCAGCAGGAATGTTTGTGCACAGACGTGGGTCTCTGCTCTTAGCAGAAGACCCCCATTCATCCCTTGTCTACAGAGAAGATGGCTATCAAATCTTCAGGTAACAACTGTGGACTTTAGAAGTGATTCAAGGAAAGCATTTAGCTGGTACCACACAGGAAAATTCAAATGATGTGAATGTTGACTAGATATAAATCTCCTTCCTGTTTGCAAAAGACCTCACAAAATGCTCCAGCAGCCCATTGTGGAGGCCGGGATATTTGATTTCATAGAACTAAGAACAAGGGAGAGATAAAGTGTCTTTTGGAATCCATATCTTCAACAGATTTCTGGACACCATGCCTTTATTCATATTAATCTATGAAATTCAGTTCACAGCAGATTTACTAGGAACAATGAATTTTTTTGGCAGTCACCAAAACCTGGGATCAGAACCACAAGAACATATGTGCACATGATTATAGATTCACCAAACTTAGGAGGCTTTTTTGGATGACCCCCACAAGGTTGCATTTAATTATAACTTATGAATCATCGCCATCAGAAAGAAAAATTTTCTGGTTAGACAGTAATGGCCTTGTCTACATCAGGGAGCAACATAATTTTTTGTAAACAAAACCAGATCATGGATATCAACAGACTTTACCTTTACTAATGGAATGAATGGAAGGCAAACACAGACTGCATGTTAATTAATGCACATGGATTTAGTCCAGCAAAATGTTGTTTACAAGAACAGATGACAGACTGGAGACAGCATTGAATTAGCTTTGTTGAACTTCGTGGGAGAAAAATCAGGAACTTGAAACCAAAAAAATAAAATTAGTACATCCAATATTGACCAAGAAACAGAGGAAGAGGAAGGAGAGGAGAAAGAGAAAATGGGGGTGGAAATCAAAATCCAATAGGACCACCCTTCAGGGTGTGGGTGATCATTGCCCGCAAGATGGCTGGCCTCTTAATGTCCATGTATCAACTATTCTTTGTATGTCTGCCTTGGTTTTTCTCTTGTAGGGAAGAGTAATTCTGGATTGTTCTCATGAGTGTTTATCCTACCGAAACAAACTCCTCTGGCAAATGAATAAATAAATGGTGTCTGGTTTACATTCTAACTTTCTAGTGTAGCTCATCCCCTGAAAACTGGATGTTCTCTACAAAGCCTAGAAAAAGAATTCTTGGTCTTTCTGTCCTAAAGGCCAGCTGCCATTTTGGCTATGGTGAGCCTGTGGTCCACGGCCCCTGGATGGCTAGTTTAGGAGCCACAAATCAATGTCAATAAGATTACATGTTTCATGGCATCTCCGTTATACATTTTCCAGAATACAGCTTGACTGTATTCCTCATGCCTACACAGATGATTTGTCCAAAGTCACTTATTTTCAGTTGCAGGATACCAAAAGGCAAAACCAAGTTATTTGCTTGAAAGAGGATTGTAAGGCAGCAAGCTAGTTGTCAGTCTAGGGTCCCACAGAGCTCGTTCAGAGGGTTAGAGCTGAATCTACTGAAGATAATCACCAGTTCCCAGGGATTCGAGCATTTTGTTTATTTGCACGGTTAGGACATATCCAGCAGATGCTATGGCAGCAGCTTCTACACTTCAACGGTTTGGACGTAGTGATTCAGTCTTGTTCTAACAGTCTGCTCATTGAGTGAGCGGGGATGAGGGAGGAAAGGTTTGACTTCACTTACTCAAAGACCTAGGCTAACAGAGCCCACCATCTAGAATATCAACAGTTGCCTCAACAAGGAAAACTCAAACGAAACTAGTGAGTTGTGGAGGGGCTTTTCAAACATCTTTGCTTCTAACGTCTCAGTAGCCAAAACATGGGTCGCCTGGCTTGAATATTTCACGGGAGCTTTGGAATGTGGTCTTGTGCATTTCCCTCAGTGGCATACTAGCCAGCATGAGTGGCTAAGAGACCATCTCCATCAAATATTGACAAAAGTTAGAAAGGGAAGCCAGGCTATGGTGACACACACCTTTAATCCCAGCACTTGGAGATAGAGACAGGCAGAACTATAAGTTTAAGGCCAGCCTGATCTACAGAGCAAGCTCTGGGATATCTGGGGTTACACAGAGAACCCCTGCTTTCAAAAAAGATAGAAATGGAAAAGGCTTTATCTAGAGAAGACAGGGGAGTGTCTATATGCTACTTAGTAACTCTCTGCTCTAGGCTTTCTCAAAGTGACTCACAGTGGGGAGTAAGGGACACTTTCCTATTAAATAGGATATTCTCTTATTGAGAGTCTATTCAGATAAGGCAGGAACTGTTTCCCAGTAGTAATTCATATCTATGCCACAATCCCACAGTAATTCTCCAAAAACTATCTCTTGAGACAGTTCCACAATCCAAATCCCTAAAAGCATCCTTCAGGAGGGGAGATAAAGATGAAATACCCTCAGATTCTCTCTCCTTTGATGTCAGGGTCTCATGATATTTAAGACTGCATTTGGCAACAGGTTTATTAAGCTAAACAACAATACTAGTCAAGTAAGTCAGGGTTCTCCAGAGAAACAGAACTTGCAGGATGAATCTATATAATATCTATGTCTATCGAGATTCTAATAAATACCCTTCCTACTGCTATATCCATATCTAGAAAGATATAGACATGGGACTAATTAGAATGACTTCTTGGTTGTGGTCTAGTTAGTTCAAAAATGGCTGCTTACCAATGGACGATCCAAGAATCTGGTAGTTGTTCAGTCCCCAAGGTTGGATATCTATGTGGGTCTCCAGTATACCCTGGAATCCTGAAGAAGTAGGTAGGTGAAGAAATGGGCTTGCCAGGGAGAGTGAGAGCAAGCAGGCAAAGAGAACCAACTTCCTTCTTTCATGTCCTGTATATATGCTGCCAGCAGAAGGTGTGAGCCACATTAAAGGCGGATCTTCCTACCTTAACAGAAAGTTCCAGGTTAAAAGTGGGTCTTCCTGCCATCAGGCAATGTGGCACATGCCTTTAATCCAAGCACTCAGGAGGCAGAGTTTGGCAGATCTCTGTGAGGCCAGCCTGATCTAAAAATCAAGTTCCAGGACAGCCAAAGCTGCTACACAAATAAACCCAGTCTCAGAAGAAAAAAAGAGTGAGTTTTCCTACTTCAAATAATTTAATGAAGAAAAAAACCTCCTCACAGGTGTACTCAGCTGCTTGGGTTTTAGTTAATTCCAGATTAATCAGGTTGACCTCTGAGACTAGTCATCACAAGCCCCCTGCCCCGTCAACTTGAAAAGCAATCATACCTCCTTATGTCATGCTTAATTTCCAAATGAAAACAATAATCAGGTCATAATTATGCCTAACATGATATAATTGTTCCTCATATAACTGCAAACAATTTATAAATTTTAGAATCAGTGGCAATGTCCCTTGAGGGACACTCTTGTTATTTCAAAAATTAATTATGATAACCACCGATATTCTCTTAATTGATGTCACATTATAAAAGAAGTAGAATGTTTGCTGTATTTCCTAGCCATAGCACTCTTACCCTTGGAACGAAAACTTCTAGGCCATCAGAATTTAAGGTCACGGGAACAGGAAGGAAATATTTTTCTATTGGGTCACTAGGGGTGATAGTGAGTGGATAATGCCCTTTTCCAACCCATGATTCATCCTGGCTATGGAAAAAATCATACCACATATTTAATACTGATTCAGAGCATATATCACCTTCTGGAGAACCCTGCCGAAGTTACTAATAGTTCTGTACTGTGTCGAAAGGCCAGCTGCTTCAGGAGGGTGGGAATATGGTGGGACCAGTGGGTTCTATGATCATGGGCCTACGGTCACTCTTCTCCCCTGGTGAAGCAAGTTCTTTTATCAGAAGAAATATTGTGTGAAATACTATGGTAGTGGATAAGGCATTCAGTAAGTCAATGGATGGTGGTTTTGGCAGAAGCATTAAATACAAGAAAGGCAAATCTATAACGAGAATAATTGTCTCTTCTGCGGAAGAAGTGGTCCAAAATAGTTAACCTGCCCCCAGGTCTCTGGCTGGTTGGACTAGCTGGGCCACAGCCTGCACTGTCCAGAGTGTACGGCTACAAAATTACAGTCCTTTTCTAGTGCAACCCTGAAAGACATGAGTGAAGGGAAGTCTTCACAGTGTGAAGATATTCAGGTACTACACATGGCTTTATATTTTGTCTGCAAGGAGAAATAGCCAAATGGATGAATGTTCACTGATTCGATTCATGGGCGATAGTCAATGGATTGACTGTATGATCAGAAGTTTGAAATGAGGATGATTAAAAAATTGGCGAGAAAGGTATCTAAGGATGAAGCATGTGGATAGATCTCTCCAAAAGAGTGAAGGGTGTGAAGATACTTGTGTCCTGTATACACACTCACCAAAAGGTGACTTCAGCAGAGGAAGAGTCCAATAACTAAGTAAATAAGGTGACCTGTTCTGTGGGCACACAAACACAGTGCCATGTTGGCAGAAATGGAGATTATGCATGGGTTTGATGACATGGACTGCCACTCACCAAGGCTGACCTGGATACAACTGCTGCCAAGTGCCGGATGTGCCACCAAGATAGCTTTAATTGTTCCCTCCCCTCCCCCACAGCTACTTCCTATGTCCTTTTGCAAAATGGGGGGCTGATGGTTAGAAGAGGAGTTGCAGAGGTGAATGACCCAGACGACTGACATGGCAGTAGGTGTTCTT